CCATCACTGCTGTGAACCTATTTGGGTTCTGATAGTTCCTGTGACTAGTATCCCTGAAGAAGAGAAAGGGCCCCTTTTCTTTGCACCAAGATAACAGAATGGACTGACACCCAAATCTGGTCATGTAACTACCCGCCTAACCTTTTTTCCTAGATCCACATGATCTTTTGGTAAATGCCACACTGGAGCCACGACATCCAGTTGTGCTTGGAATCTTGCATTCTAGTCCAGACTTACTCAAGTTCCCTCATACTTTATTCTCCAATGACTCCCCCTTACTTGTAGCTCCCCCCAGTATGCCAGAGCCTCTGAGGCCCTATCTGCTATCAATGGATAATTTATCCCAAACTCAGAAAAGGCAAAGCAGTAATTGTTTGACTTCCTGATATAATGGAAGAGCATTTTCTAATAAGCCTGCCTGGCTCTCATATGATACTTTGAAATACAACCTGTGATCAGAATCTATTAGGGCAACTTTTTTTTTTTTTTTTTTCCGAGTCAGAGTCTCACTCTGTTGCCCAGCCTGGAGTGCAGTGGCACAATACAGTCACCACAGCCTCGACCTGCTGGGCTCAGGCGATCCTTCCGCCTCAGCCTTCCAAGTAGCTGGAAATACAGGTGTGAGTCACCATGCCCAGCTAATTTTTTTACTTTCTGTAGAGACGGAGTCTTGCCATGTTGGCCAGACTGGTCTTGAACCCGTGGATTCAGGCAACTCGTTCTCCTCTGCCTCCCAAAGTGCTGGGATTACAAGCAGGAGCCACCATGCCCACCTAAGTTTTTTCTTAAAGACCATTCTGAAGACTGGAATTTTGTCCTGCCTGTTAGGATAACATGCTTTCACCTGGTTTCCAGATGTGCTTTTTGTTTGTTTGTTTAGTTCCAGTAATTATAAATTGTAATGAAAAAGGAAAATGTTGCCAGATGCACTGGCTCATGCCTATTATCTCAGCACTTTGGGAGGCTGAGGCAAGAGGATTGCCTGAGCCCAGGGTTTCCAGACCAGCCTAGGCAACTTGGCGAGACCTTGTCTCTACAATAAATCAAAAAATTAACCAGGCATATTGGTGCATGCCTGTAGTTTCAGCTACTTGGAAGGCTGAGGCAGCGGATTGCCTGAACTCAGAAGGTCGAGGCTATGATGGCCGTGATTGTGCCACTGCACTCCAGCCTGGTGACAGCCAGACTCCAACTCAAAAAAAAAAAAAAAAAAAGAAAGAAAGAAAAGAAAAAGAAAAATGTAAGTGTTTGCCCTAATAAAACACCATCTAATGTTGAAGACTAGATTACCCTCTCCCAGCATGACACACTTGTCAACACTTATGGCCCATAAGTTATCCATTGTTTGACAATTCTTGTGTCACAAGAGCACTTTGGAGGTCCCTAACTTGGTTAGCCTTTGCTTGTATCATCAAAAACTTCCATCCTTGAGCAGGGCAAGATGGCTCACACCTGTAATCCTACCACTTTGGAAGACTGAGGCCAGGCATTGGAGTTCAGCCTGGGCAACACTGCAAGAACCCCTTCTCTAACTTAAAACAAAACAAACCCAAAAATATTACAATACTTCCACATTGAAAACAATATCGATTTAGATAATAGGTGAAATAGTATGCATTTTAAAGTCAAATGTTAAGACATTTGAAAAATGGGCCCTTAAAAATCTACCAGGAGTCACTTTTTTTCTGAGTTTTTTTCTACATTTTATCATGAATTTTCCAAACATATAGAAAGGTTGAAAAAGTTTTACAATGAACACTCATTCACCCACCACTCATATTTTACCATAACATCTTACTATAACACTTGTTTTACACATATTTATTTGTTTATTCTTCTTTCTATCCAGCAATCCATCTTATCTTCTGAATGCATTTCAAAGAAAATTTCATGTATTGGTACACTTCCTCCTAAACACTTCAACATGGATATTATTAGCTGGAAGTGAAGTTTCATTTACATTTTTTTTTTCCTTTTGAGGTAATAATAGCATATTATGAAATGCACAAATCTTTGGTGTACAATTGTTGAGTTTTGACAAATACATACACCTGTGCAAACTAAACCCCTGTCAAAATATACAGCATTGCCATTACCCCAGGAATTTCCCTCATGTCCCTTCTCCATCAACGCCTGCCCTTAATTCCTCAGGGACAATCACAATTTTTGGTTGATTTTTACACCATTGTTCTCTTGCTCTGACCTCCATCAATGCTGCTGAATGAGGCTTCGTAATTTTAAAAAAACAACACTATAATAATTTTCAAGTTATGTAATAATGTTTGTGACCTTCTATGCAATAGTTTCACTTTATTTTATTCTAAAGAATAAGAAAATATTCTCTAGACAAAAAATACTATATGCAAAAATATAGATGTTTATTGTACTGTTATTTTTACAGTGAGAAACTGAAACCCAAAATTGTATTTATTTATTTGTTTGTTTGAGTAGAGGACTCACTCTGTCTGTTGGCCAGAGTGGAGTGTAGTGGTATGATCATGGCTCAGCAGGCTCTACCTCTTGGGTTCAGGCAGTCTTCCCACCTCAGCCTCCTTAGTAGCTGGGACCACAGATGCATGCCACTATGCCTGGCTAATTTTTTTAGTTTTTTTTTGTGTGTGTGTGTGTGGAGATGAGGTCTTGCTATGTTGCCTAGGTTGGTCTCAAACTCCTGAGCTCAAGCAATCCTTCCACCGTGTCCTCCCAAAGTGCTGGGATCACAGGCATGAGCCACCACGCCTGGTCTTTAAAATTCTAACTATAGTAGAATGGTTAAGTGTGCTTTAGGCTCTGATGATACAGACCAACTTGGAAGCTTTAGACAGAAAAGTCTTAGGACAGTGTTTGCTACATAGTCATTTCTTTTTTACTAAGGGTGTAACTTTTATGTATCTTCCAAATGTTTCCCCAGAGGCCTATCCCCAATGTTGACATGATGAGACTTTACACATTCAGGACCACCCCATGCTAAAACATGATAGAAACTGGTGGCATATATCTATATCTACATCTATCTATCTATAGATATTTATATATGTGTGTGTGCGTG